CATTGTACATATGTACAGTGGCATAATGTGCACCTCTGCCAACCTCTTCGGGGATAAAAGGCGTGATGTTATGTTATGTTACTTCTGGCATGTTATGGATTTTTTATTAGTGTTTTGCAACAATAAATGATCCTTTTGGCATAACACTCACTTGGCAAAAATATTTAAAAATGGTGTGTGTGCCTGTTTGTTAGAAACTGAGGGGTTTCTATTGAAGTGGAGGAGTGGAATGAGGTGAAACGATGGAAAGTGGCATACGCTACATTTTGTTTCTTTCTAACCCAAGACTTTCCTAGGACGGGGGATGCAAGGTAATATGGAGCATGTCGTGATTTTCAAGAAACCTAAATTTGGTATCATGTTTGTGACCAGCAAAACATCGGACACCAATTCTTTTTTATCTTTGCAATGCTGCCCTCAATACTTTAAAAGAGCGCGAGCGAAACCGTGGGCACAAGTTAGTCCAAGAATAAAATGTATTTAGTTAATTTAATTCATATTTTTTCTGTGCGAGCCTGTAATAGCTCACACAAGAGGAATGTCAATAGAATGTCACGGGAAGATTAATTAGAGAGAGTTTGTCAAATAAAGTATACGTCAATACAGGGTGAATGCTTTTAATGCACTGTCGAACATGCGCTTGTAAATGAATAAAATGTACATATTAATTAGGCCGATTTGGCAATAACACTCGACAGTTAAAAATGCAAACAAACAAAAAATTAATGAAAACGGCTTGTACAAATAAAATGTATTCAGTTAATTTAATTCATATTTTTTCTTTAAAATCCCTGATTCTAATGCAACTAACTACAATTATTAGTCCTTGAAAACAGTTTTCTATTGGCAGTCAAAGCAGTATAAGGAGTTTTTTGGTATATTTTTCACACATCGGGTTATATCGTCATCGGGTTATGTTGTTTCCACACGGTCCCTTTTTTCTCTCTTATTCAGTATAGCCTATGTTCATCATCGATGATGTAGGATTCCAACGGTAAAATAATTTTACAAATCGGTCTGGTAGTTTCGGAGCCTATTCAATTCAAACAAACAAACATAAAATCAATTTCTCCTCTTTATACTATTAGTGTAGATGTAGATTACATAATAATTTTCAATCCAATACGTTTAAAAACCCACTTTAACCTCTTTCTTTTCTTCAGCAATAAACATATTTGAATTTGAAGTCGGTATAGATAGGTACTAGAACTAAGTGTAACAAATACTCTTATGAAAACCGCATCAAAATCGGTGCAGCCAATCGCTAGATAATCGCACAAACGACATACATTCATACAGGTGACATTGAGGAGCTGCTTGTTTGAAGTCGGTTGAACAGTGTTGGTGTTGTATTCGTTGAGAACGTTCAAACAGAGATAGCACCATGCACCAACGACCCAAGTAGACGGTAGACCCAACCGACAGCCCACATGTATTCGTACACACAATGCGTACACGCCACCATGCTGTAATTACATATTGTTTCCATGTTCTATAATAGAAATAAATAAAGAGCTATACATTCAATCTATTGATATCTATCTAAGGGTACATATAATAAAACTGTAGACGTGTACATTCTGTACATTGAAAGTATTCAAAAACAAATAGTTGGTGTAATTAACTATCGTGAGACATACTAAATTAACTAAAAATCACGGGTTACTCACGTGACTATACCTACTGAGAAAAGCTCTACTAGTTTCGAAACACAGAGGGGTTCTTCCTCATGAGCAGCGTGCGTCGCGGCGATGTCACGCAGGCTACGCCAGCCAGCCTCCTACAGCCATTAAGTAAATGTAAGGTGTTACTAGATGACACCAAACCCAAAAAAAATATGTTTGTCCATCTGTGTGTTCAAGCATCACACATAAACTATCAGTCCGATTTCGATGAAATCGATGTTTAGAATTAAAAGGTACAGAATAGCCGGTAGACAGTTTGTTGCCCCCGGGCACGGCGGCGTCGGCCAAGAGGCTAGGTGTCATCATCCGGCGCATCAATGCATATATATTGAATATGTATTTCAGGGTTTTTGTTGCGCATGTTTGTCAGCATATGTCAGTCAGCCTTTTTAACCGACTTAAAAAGGAGGTTCGCAGTTCGACGTGTACGGATGTATGTATATGTTTGTTTGTACGTTTGTGCGCGATTATCTCACAATTGGCTGAACCGATATTGATGCAGTTTACAGAAAAGTGTTTGTTACTCTTACTCTTAAGGTATATACAGGCTACTCTAAATATATTAATTAACCAACTTCAAAAACAGAGGGGATTGAAGTCGGTTTTTTTAAAGTTACTACTTTATTAGTAGCTTTAATATTTTGTCGTAAAATAATGCACAAGAATTAAATCGATACTTCTACGAGATTTTTTTGTAAAGGCGCAACTATTTTTTCGTCATTCCCCATTCTTGAAATAATTGTCGAAATTATTTTTATTTTAGTACTCACTAATAGTTCAGTAATTTTGTGGTTCTACCTGGAATGTTTTGGACTATGGGAAGTAAGTAATGTGAGTACTGTTTGCGGCGCCGGCAGGTACCCGGCTCCGAAGGATGCCACGAACAAGGTGCGCGGCCGCAGCGACCTGCTGGAGCTGATGTGTGGCGCGGGTGCCGTGGACCCGGAGCTGCTCACCGTCAAGACTTTCTACTTCTTCTTCTACTCGGCGTTCGGCTCATTGTTCCCGCTGATGGGCGTGTACTTCAAGCAGATGGGTATGAACGCGGGCCAGTGCGGCTTGCTCATTGGCACGCGGCCCTTCGTGGAGTTCCTGTCGGCGCCCTTCTGGGGTGGCCTCGCCGACCGCTGGCAAAAGGGGCGCACGCTGTTACTGGCGTCGCTCGGCGCCTGGATCGTGTTTACGCTGCCGCTGAGCTGGGTGCAGCCAGGGGCCGTGTCCTGCGTGCACCCGCTGAACGCGACCGCCTACAACCTGACGGAGCCGCGCTACGACGAGGATTGGCCCAGCAGCACCACGCGCGCCTTCCGCGGGCCGCCCGGCGCCGGCCGCGAGGGCTCGCCGCTGCCTGTCAGCGACGCGCTCAACTACGACGCTAAGGCCAACAGCGACTGGGTGACGCCGCTGCATTCCTTCATCGTGTACCGCACCCCCGACATCCAGAAGACATTCTTCCTACTGCTCTTGCTGGTGGTCATCGGCGAATTTTTCAGCGCGCCCGCCATTACCCTCGCGGACTCTGCCGTCATCACGCTCCTCGGCGAGGACGCTGACAGGTATCGCACAGGGCTACCGGTGCTTCCAATAAGCTTTCGTTTGACCAGACACTTCCAAGTCAAACAGTTTATTTTTTTCACAATTTATTTATTTATTTTATGGTGAATCAATCAATGAATATGCTACATCATACAAATTGAGCACAAAAATACAATTAATGATATAGTTTCGAATTGTAACATCCACATCACTTAGCCGCGGCAGTCACGTACTTACCTAAATGTATACATACGGTATACACGGCAATGTAACCATAATAGTCAGGAATCATTAAAGTCTAATGAAAAGGAATTCATCGAAATGTAGCGATAAATACTTGCAGGTACGGACACCAGCGCATGTTTGGTTCGCTGGGTTGGGGGCTGGCCATGTTCTTCGTGGGTATCGCACTGGATCACAGCACGGCCTTCAGCTCGCACCCGTGCGGCGGCCCGCAGCGCTTCGAGAAGAACTACACCATCTGCTTCGCAACGTTCTCAGTGCTGATGGGTGCCGCGCTTATCACCGCCACGCAGGTACGTCCCGCGCGCCATGGACTCCTGCTCGCCCTGCCTCGGACAGTGCGTGAGACACGTGTGGCCGCTGTTGCAGATACGGTTCAAGTACGAGTTCGTGAGCGTGGAGGCGGCGGCGCCGCCCGCGCCCGCCGAGCCCACGCACGAGGAGAAGCTGCAGCAACAGCTGGCGGAGCAGCTGCAGCTGCCGGGGCTGGACACCAGCGCGCCCGCGCCGCGCCAGCCCGTGCTCGAGCAGGCCAAGGTACGGGGGCCGCGCTGGCCGGGGTAGGCCGGGGCCAGGCCGGCCCGAGCCCCGCTGACCCGCTTGTGGCCACAGGTGTTCGCGCAAACGACGCGCGAGATGCCGGAGTGGGTGACGGTGCTGCGCCAGTTCCAGAACGTGAAGGCGGCCTCGTTCCTGTTCGTAGCCTGGTTCATGGGCTTCGGCATCGGTCTCATCTTCACCTTCCTCTTCTGGCACTTGCAAGTTTGTACCACCTCAGTTGTCATATTAAAATCGATGAAATTGATACTCAGTACATTGTTTATCTGCTGTTGATTAATATTAACCACGGCCGGCGTGAACTGTTGTAGGATATCGGCGGGTCTCCGACACTGTTTGGCGTGGCATCCGTCATCAACCACATCTCAGAGATATTCGCCTACTTCTTCAGCTTCAAGTTGATCACGCAGATGGGACACGTAAAGGTAGGCACCCTCCCTGCTTCCTGTAGTCCTCTGGCACCCTGTCGTTGCCTAAACACACTATCGGTTGTGTTCAATGCATCAAAGGACGTACGTATGCACCCAAAAGAAGTCCCATATAACAGGAGCCATAGGACGTTAGCCCGAGCCTAGGAATGTTACTGTGGCAGGTGCTGTGCCTGGGCCTGGCGGGCAACGTGCTGCGCTTCCTGTACATCGCGTGGCTGAGCGACCCCTGGTGGGTGCTGCCCTTCGAGTTCGTGCAGGGCGTGACGCACGCCGCCGTGTGGGCCGCGTGCTGCTCGTACATCGCGCACGGCGCGCCGCCACGCCTGCGCTCGTCGGCGCAGGGCGTGCTGCAGGGCCTGCACCACGGCCTGGGCCGCGGCTGCGGCGCCGTGCTGGGCGGCGTGGCCGTGGCCAAGTGGGGCACCACGCGCACCTTCGCGGGCTACGGCCTGCTGTGCACCGTGGTGCTGGCCGCCTTCGCCTTCGTGAACTTCCGCGGCGAGCCGGAGGCGGCGGGCGGCGCGCCGGACGACGAGGCGCGCGCCGTGGCGGAGGCGGGCGTGCTGGCGCCGCACGGCGTGCCGTCCAACCCGCTGCCGCGCGCGCTGTCGTCCACGCGCCTGGCCGACCTGGCGCACCACGACTCGTACGGCGCCACGCAGGTAGGCCCGGCCGCGCCCGCGCCGCGTTGTGGCGGCCGCGCAGATACTGACGCTGCGTTCGTTGCAGAGCTACAGCGGGGCGGAGTCGCTGAGCGTGCCGGGCCAGGCGGCGGCGCCGCGGCCCTCGAACCCGTTCCTGGCGGAGCAGGCGGCGCCGGCCTACAGATAAGCGCCGCGACGCCGACTCTCCACTGTCCTATGTACAAAGTCGTTGAGGAGCAGCCCCGCGCCCTCGCCCCTACTCTGTATATTGATATCGCTGCTTCTGTGTGCTCAGCGCTCTCTCGCTGTAGTCAGTCGGGGTATCTGTGTGTATTACTGTAATTACTGGTATATATGTATATTTATAAGGTGGAACGCGATGTCATATCAAGGTGTGATGTAGTCGAGGGCAGAGGTAATTCACTTCTGAAGTATTATTTTGTTGATAAAGTAACAGATAGATATTCTTATTACGAAGCTATATGTATACAATTGAAGTTTGTTGTGAGGATGTGCTCCTGCACCGGTTATATATTTTTGCACAGTCTGTAGCGGGGAGTGCCAACACTTTCCATTTCATGTGTATAATGAATAAATAAATGTTGAACTATTCACCATTGTGCATCATTTCTCTAGTTCAATACTTCTGCATTATTCCTATCCTAATATTTGATCGGGCGGGAGATAACGCCCGGTCGTCATCACTGCGAGGACCGCCCCGAGGACACGGTGGGGACATGCGACGTGATCGGCGACGGCGACCTCTCGCGTCCGGCCCTTGTCCGGGTCATGATGCGAATCGAGAAGGAATGCCGTCTCCTTTTCCGAAGCAGTCATGCTAGCTAAGGAGGAGGCGGGGCGCGTGGGGCAGAGATCCACGACCTTCTCACAACCCAGCTGTCACGAAAGACACTCCAGGCGTCGGGGATCGCGGGTCGATCTCCGGCCATCGTAAGCACGCGACCAGAACCAGACCCGAGCGTACGGCGCTCAAAGAGCCATCAGACCACCACGGGCGGGAATAGTCATTCGAAGATTTTCCCCCTTAAACAATAAAGTAACACTTGACTAATGTTGCAAAGTGACACTTTAAAAGCCGGGAAATGAGTAGGTACCGAATCGTCACTTTTCGATTGCCTCGTTGGGCGAGTAGTCGCAAGTCGCAAGTGGGACTGCCGCGCAAGGGGTTTCGGGTTCGATTCCCGGGTTGGGTAAAGAATTACTAGGTTATTAAAAAAATCTCTGTAACAGCACGGAGTTTGGAAATGTGCCCTGTATATGGCTATAGACTCACCCCCTATTACCTGCGACTCATAATATAAATAGTGAAAAGTGGGTGCCATGTACAGTGGCATAAAGTGAAGTGCGCACGCACGAAGAAGCCCCTCAGCCCACCTCCGAGGATAGAAGGCGTGTCATGTTGTATTATGTTATAGTACAAATACTACATACAGACATTTTTCACAGTTTTCCACTATTAATCTCGTAGGCGTGCAAGTCGTGACCTCAACTGGCTACGATGTTTGTTCAATCAATTTATTTCATCTAAACTGTTAATGTCTAATTGGTGGCTTGTTCGTCCGCGAGTCACTTAAGGGGCCAGTAGAATACCAGCGCGAGGCCCTGTCTTGCACATGCTGAACTGGTCCCATTTCGGGGCAGACATGGGACTTGAACATGTATCCACCAGTACCTACTAATACAATGACTTTTATGTAGAGGTACATGTCACTTGTTTTTTGCCGTCAAATAAAGTTATTTTTTTACTTTTTCTTTCTTTCTTTCTTTCAAATGCAAACCACGTTCCACGACATAGGAGGTGCTACAATCTACGAGCCACGTGCTTCGACCTACCTGCTACGAGTTACGCGCAACGAACTTCGTGCTACGAGTTAGGCACAACGAGCTACGCCGGCGCGCCGATGCCCTACGGTTCTACGAACAACGTGATGCAAGCTGTGAACTGCACGCTACGAAACACGCTCTATGGACTATGTTCTATAATAATGCTACGAGGACCAACCTACGCACTACTAGCCACGGCTGTAGTAATTCCCCGCAATTTATTTTAGTGTACAATTAGGGCATCGTTTTAGGGCTTCCAAGACCTACACGGCACACGCCTACATGGTCTTGGCAACATTTCATAATATATAAATGTTTTTATTGTATTGTTATTAGTTATTACTCACCCCATATTACAAGAGACTCATAACGTAAATAATTATAGTGAAAAGTGGGTGTTACATTGTTCAGTGGCATAACGAGCACCTCTGCCTACCCCTTCGGGGATAAAAGGCGTGATGTTATGTTACGTATTACATACAGCGTGTGTCATAACATAAATATGTTCAGTATACAACAGTATATGTCGTTACAAATGCATAATTCCGGGGCTCCGGTTTGAAACACAACTAGAGACAATAAGTGTGGCCCTGTCCCCCCACCGGGGGAGGCATTTGATGATCGCCTCCGGGCTCCGGGTGCGCTTATTGTCATTACCGGACAACAACAATTCAGACACGTGCTCTCCTACTAAGACATTTTCAAAAACCGGAAACATGCCAATAATAATACTTTACACGACCCAGGAATCTAATCAGATACCCTTTGCTCAGTAATCGAACTTGCGACCACTCGGTTAACGAGGCAGTCGTATATTTGTCGTAAAGTATACACATAATAAAATTTGGCTACTACTGGTCTGATATTGGTCCGGTAGATGGCGCCAGGCTTCAACTTTACTTACCCTTCGTTTGCAACTCGAAGTCGAAGAGGTAATCCAGAAGACCAGAAATATTATTTCATACATAATTGCAGACAAACTTACAAGTGACACATTTTACTAATATAACACGTTTACAAAGTATAATTCAATGGAATTTATTAAAGATTATTATTTTAGATTTTAATATTAGATTATACTTAAATTACATTATAGTACCAACATAACACTAAGTCAGACACATAAGTTCGAGTTCAGGGTCACTCCACAGTGTAAATGTGGCACTGCGAGACGAGGGCGCGGCCGCGTAGCCAGGGGGCGCGCCGCGGCGCCGCGGTCCGGGGCGCGGGGGCGCGGGGGCGCGCAGTTAGCCCAGCACGACGATGCGGCCGTTGCGATAGGCGGTGCGCGGCATCTTCTGGTAGCCGTAGCCGGACGCACTGCGGAGGGACGTCACAACACTCAAAAGGGGGCGATGGGAGCTTTCTTCACCGGTTTCTCTCTATAATAAATCTTGAGTACGAAGGTAACACAAGAGGTGGCGACGTGGCCCGCCCGCCGGCCACGCCAGCGAGCCCACCCGCTGCAAATACACAAGTACCGGTGCTACAGGCCGCGCAGTCCAGCCACTTACTCGGTACGGGTAGTACCTATAGCTACCGTTGCCGGAGTAGCGATAGCTAGTACTTAACTCATGATGAGGGCGACGAAAGTAGTACCTGTTGTAGGACGGCGGGCGCGGCTGCAGCGACAGCTCGGCGTCGGACGCGGAGGCGCGGGGGGAGCGGGGCGCGCGCGCCGCCAGCAGCGCGGCCGCGGCGCCCAGCACCTGCAGCACCGGCAGCAGCACTCCCAGCACTAGCGCCACGTACGCGTTGCGCGGCGCGTCCTCGCTCGCCTCCTGCAGCAGACCACGCGGTTACTCACACATCGCCACACTCGTCACCCTTCGCCGCTGGTGGAGTGGTGATATTTAGATTGCGTACGGTCCGCAGTAGAGCGCGCGCACCTGTATGAGCTGGTCGACGCGGTGCGGCAGCGGGTGCCAGCGCGCCATGTAGTCGAGCAGAGGCCGCAGGTGGTCGCTGAGCTCCAGCGCCTCGGCCAGCTGCCGCGCCGCCTCCGACTGCTGCCAGGCCAGCACCTGCAGCGCCAGCCACGCACAGAAGGCCACCTCGCCCAGCACCAGCATCGTCATTAGCGCCGCGTACTGCGCACACACACGCTACACCTAGGAGGCCGTCCGCCGCCCGCACTGATTACATTATTGCTTATTGCACGTAACAAATGATAGATTGATTCTACGCGTCATACCTGTCGCGCACAGTTGTTACCTGTGACAAGTGCCTGAAGGTACGGACAACAAAGATTGGGGCATTTGGTCCATAGTGACACATTTTAATTGACTTAAATTTTATATGACAGTACAATACACAGACTACACACAGACTGGAGAACTACTCGGGATAGCATGCTACTTGTATACCTACATATAGTTGCTTACATATACTATATATTGCTTCAAGGCTGAGGACCTGCTCGAAAGAAACATCCGTGCGAGCGAAACTATAGATTATTGTGCTTATGGCGCAGCAGTCTATAAGAGACCAGCCACCAACTGCATGGACTGCTTTATGAGCACGCTGGAGATATCAAACTGCAAGCTTGTGTTCGCTGGGGTCACCGCGCAGTGAGCGCAGCGAGCACAGCGAGCCACCGACCACATAGAGCAGCAGAGCGCGGCGCGCGCGCGCGATGTGGGCCGCCGCCGCCGCCACGTGCGGCAGCGCCAGCAGCGCCGCGCCGCCCGCCGTCAGCACGGCGCAGGCCGCGCGGTACTCCGCCGGGAACAGCTCGCGCAGCGCCAGGTACGTGCTGGGGTCCCACTTGAGTCGCGCCGCCGTCGCCAGCGCCGCGCCGCCGTATAGCTGCACACACAAGAGCCGTGAGCTGGCGCCGCGCGGCCGCCGTCGGCCCGCGGAGCGCCACTTACGGTAAGCAGGAGATTGACGTGCGCCAGCAGCACGGGCGCGACGCGCCGGCACATGGCTCCGGTCGGTGCTGCGCGGGCCCGCTCGGTACTGACGATAGCACGCTCGCGCGGCTTATCTTATCACTGATATGAGCGCGGGCCGCCGCCCGACACGACGCTCGCCACTTGTTGTTCTATTTTCTTGATACTGTCGTAGGTATATATAACCATTAATCATCGAACAATGCATCATCGCCGAACACAGATAGCGCTTCCAATCATTGATGACTTATTTATGTTTTATCTAATTTACCTGTAACCTGTAATGCTCACATCTATTTACAATCCACAATTTTAACGTAGGTAATCACACAAAGGTAATATTTGCGAAGGTGATGGTGATGTAGGTCGGTGCGCGGCGCGGCGTTGGGACAACAGAGCTGAAGTGACTGCGACAGCCGCTGCAATCTGTAGATAAGCCTCGGCAGCGCCACGCGTCCACAACAATATCGTTGATAACTTGCCTATCAGGAATTCGGAAATTGGATCATTTGCGAACCTTGTACAAATTAAATTGTTCCTATCACAGCGGCATCGGGGTGTTTCAAACATATTTGTTTACTTTATGTTATGTATAATTATAATAAGGTACACGTACAAACGAACACGGCAGTACTAGCACGGAGTCTGGAATTGTGCCCGGCATATGGCAATAGGCTCACCCCCTATTACATGGAACTCATAACATAAATAGTGAAAAGTGGATGTTACATTGTACAGTAGCATAATATGCACCTCTGCCTACCCCTTCGGAGATAAAAGGCGTGATGTAATGTTATGTTACACTTACAAACGAACACCTACCTATTCAGTAGGTACAAGTTGTAATTTTTATGGTTGAAAACAAACTGCTCCCTACTTGAAAACAATATGTCGGAGAACCGTTCGTAACCATGCCTACGACGATTGCTGCCCAGCTCCTTATATATAAGTCATAACAATACATTGCTTTGTTTATTTTAAATTCGGAAAGTAATAATGGTTCCGAAAAACAAATTAATCTCCAGCGACCTGTGGCCGACTAATAACAAAACTAAACTTCCGAATAGAATATTGAACCTCCGACAAAATTACTAAGTTACCGACAACAGACGTGTTAGGTTAGGTTAGTATTGTAGCAATAAACAGTCATGTGAAGTAGTCGGAAAGTTAGTATTTTTACCGACTTCAAAAAAAGGAGGAGGTACTATGTTCGGCTGATTGTTTTTTTTTTTTAATGGGGGAAAATCATCGAATGACGGCTCCCGCCTGGGTGAGGCGGAAGGGAGTGTCAGACTCTTACTGACTAAAAACCACCCCGTTCCTTCTCCTGCACGTCGAGCCGGAGCCCCGGTTACCCGTTAGGTTCTCCGCGACTCCGAATCGGCATCGGCCCTATTGGGCCCCATCTGTGGTGATCTGATGGCCCTTTGAGGCGCGCGCGGAACGCGATGCGCCGTACGCTCGGGTCTGTTTCTGGTCGGACGGGGAGCCACCCATGCTCGCCGTCCGCAGGCCCGCGCTTACGGTGGCCGGAGATCGTCCCGCGATCCCCGACGTCCGCTGTGTCCTTCCGCCCCTTAGCGATGGCTGGGTTGCTCTATATAGCTCATATCATAATGATATAACTGTCCACAAAATTGTAAATTGGGTACCTTGTATGGAACTTATGGCACCGACTTCTTACCTATCAGTGGGTGGGTAACCTATCAGTACTAATGATAGTTATTTTTGCTTTTTAGTTTTGACTTTTTGTTTATTATTAGTTTTTGGTTTTTTGAAGTTGGTTTTTTAAACGCAGTTTTAGGCAGTAGATTTAATATTTTCAGTAAGGACAATTCTTCTTTCCTTGTCGGAGCTTTTATTACTAGCCTTTAAATTCTAACTCAATTGCACAGGTGACATGATCATCGGTATGCTTACCAAATAGTTCTTAGTTGTATTTTAGTAGACATTGATTCGTATGTTTGGAATGTGACACTTGTTAGTATTGGTAAGATAAAAAAAAACAGTTAGGGACGCGATGGAGGCTAAGAGAAGAAAGAGGTGTTTTTAGGGACGCTATAGGAGCCCGCCGATATAGTTAAGGGGCAGGCAGACATTCCTTTATGGGACGTTGTTACGCGACCTCACTTATGATCATTCTAAATGTCAAACAAGTGTAATATTTCTATCTTTTCAACCGACTTCAAAAAAAAAGGAGGAGGTTCTCAATTCGACTGTATTTTTTTAATGTTTGTTACCTGATTACTCGAAGACGCCTGGACCTTGTTTGAAAGGGTATGTTTGTCATTTGGTCCCATTGTCATGAAGTCAGGATCTGATGATGGAATCCCAGGAAAACCGAGGGGAACTTTTAAAAATTAATAGGGACAATTGGGGCATTTGTTAATTTTTTCGTTAAGTATTTTGTAGCGACACTAATGTGTTGACATTTTTGTGTTCTCAAGTGCGTAGCTGCGCCTGCGACCCTATAGCGTTAGCACTCCAGTTAGTCAGTAATATTTTGTAATATTATA